GTGGTCCATATAATTTCAGATGGTTATGCAGGCCAAAATAAGAACCACACGGTAATAAGATTCCTTCTAGCTCTTGCTTCGTCAGGCAAATTTAATGACATTTTTCATTATTTTCTGATCAGAGGCCACTCATTCCTCCCGTGCGATAGAGACGTCGGGGTAGCAAAAAGACTCATTCGCAAGCAGGACCGAATTTTTCTTCCTGAAGAATATTACGAATTGATAAAACAATCGTCAAGAAAATTCCTTTTTTCTATAGAACTGGTAAAAAATTAAACAATTTTGGAATTCAAAAAATAGTGGCCTATGCATTATAAGAAAACCGTACTCTCCATTGACTCCTATGGGAAAAAAACCAAACATGAGAAAACAACTTTTCAAACTTCTCAATATAAGTTCGAATATGACAACAAAAAACAGGGAATTGTTAAAGTACCTCCATTTATCGATGGGCTTATGTTTCATGAATTTTCCCTGGAAGAGCAGCTGGAGTTTTCCTAGTTTGCCAACAGTCTGCTTACACAGAAAAAATCCCTAATAATTCGAAAAAAATGGACAAAATCAAGAAACTTGTAAAATATGTGCCAGAAGACAAAATGTTTTTTTATAATAAGCTGATTTTATGTCCTAGCACTAATAGTGATGAACCAACAGAGGAAGAAAGAAAGAACCAAAGAAGAAAGAAGAAATATTACACGCATTAAAAATAATGAAGAGTGGGAAAAGCCCTGGTCCTGACATGCTTCCTATAGAAATCCTAAAAATTCTAGATGAGAAGCACATTGATGTTTTAGTGACATTCTTGAACCAAATTTATAGTTCAGGCGTATTACCCAAAAAGTGGCTAACGTCGATTTTTATTTGTCTCCCTAAAAAGAAAAATGCAAGAGAATGCAGCGATTACCGCACCATTAGCTTGATGTCTCATATGCTAAAGTTACTACTTAAAGTCATCCATAACCGAATATATCACAAACCAGACATAGACGTTATTGATACAAAATTTGGTTTTCGCAAAGGCCTAGGAACGCGTGAAGCTGTTTTTTCACTTAATATACTGATACAAAGATGCCTGGACATCAATCAAGATATATACGCATGTTTTATTAACTATAATAAAGCATTCGATAGAGTACGACATAAACAATTAATTAATCTCCTGAAATCAAAGAAGATTGACTACAACGACTTCAGGATCATATCAAATTTATACTATAAACAGCGAGCAAAAGTACGTGTTAACGAACAGCTGTCAGAAGAAATTGAAATTAAGTGTGGAGTGAGACAGGGATACGTATTGTCGCCAATTCTTTTTAATGCCTACTTAGAAGAGATCGTGAAAAACGCTCTTGAGGTGAAACAGCTGGAATAAAGGTAAATGGAGTTTATCATTCGGACAGAAATATCAGATGACGACACATGCTATGACAATGGAAAAACGAATTGGTAAACGAAAACCTAAAGACCCCATCACACGAATCGCGTGCTGGAACATTACGTCGTGGAACGGAAGAGACCAGGAGATCATAATAGAAATGAAGAAACACAATATTGACATCTGCGGAATCTCCGAAACAAAGAAAAAAGGCCAAGGAACATCAAAATACGGAGAATTTATACTCATATAGAAGGAAAGCTAAACAAGAAAGAGCGCATTCAGGAGTTGGAATTTTGCTGCACGATAAATACACGCAAAACATCGAAGATATCGAATACATCAACGATAGATTATTAAAAATCTCTATAAAAATGCGTAACATCACAACACACCTGATAAGCACGTATGCCCCAGACATATCTAAGCCTACAGCAGAAACTGAAAATTTCTATCAGCAACTACAAAACGTCGTAGATAACGTAAATACGAAACACAAAATTATCGTACTCGGGGATCTTAATGCACGGATCGGAAACGTTGTCATACCAGGTATAAAACAAAAGTACAACGAAGAAATAATTAATGAAAACGGCGAAGCACTAATAGACTTTTGCGCTAGAAATGAAATGAGAATCAACAATACATACTTTCCTCATAAAGACCAACATAAATACACTTTTAACAATAATCGAGGCCAGCGATCAATGATAGATTTTATAATCACAAATCGAGCGATAACTCCGTCACAAGTACTTGATGTCAGAGCACTAAGATCTGCTAACCTGGGGACTGATCATAACCTTGTTTTATGCAAGATGCTACTAGAACGTCCGCAACGAAACAGAAAACCCCCAATGTTCATCGAAAACCATAATATAGAGTCGCTAGCAACAGAGAGTACAAAACTGCTTTATGAGAACAGGGTTACCAGCAAACTAAAAGAGATCGACTTAAAACCCGAATGGGGAGTAGAAGATACTTAGCAAAAAATTAAGAAATGCATCAACGAAGCAGCAGAAGAAGCGATTGGAAAGCGGAAAATTAACACGAGAGCGACAAACCACACCAAACCGTGGTTTTGCCAAGACGTAAAAGAACTCTCTGAATTAAAACGCAAATGCTATCTGAGATATAAAAGCACGCAATCGGAAGAAGCTCATGCAGAATATGTTCAAATAAGAAACGAAGTAAACGCCAGAATAAAATCAATCAAAAGAGAACATTGGGCCAAATTCACTTGCGACATGGACTACGACCTATATGGTGCCCAAAAGAAAGTATGGAAAATGCTCCGCAACAGGAAAAAACCTGTTAACGAGTTCGTGCAGACCAAAGGAGTACCTATAGAGGCATGGCAACAGCATTTTAAAGAGCTATATGATGCTGAAGAAACGCTGAATATAAACGAAGGCGAAACAGATGTGAGTGCTACAATCAATGACGAAGAAGTAGAAGCAAAGATCAAAAAGCTAAAAAACAGAAAATCACCGGGAACGGATGGTATACCCAATGAACTTTTAAAATATGGAGGCCCGGAACTTGCAAGTAAACTGGCACAACTATTTAACAAAATATTAAACAAAACAGAAACACCAGGGGAATGGCATAATAGTATCACAATCCCCATATTTAAAAAAGGACAAAAAACCTGCCCACAAAACTATAGAGGAATAACCCTCTTAAATACAACAATGAAACTTTTCACGGGTATTCTCAAAGACAAATTGGAAAAGCAAATCACTAATGCTGAAGAACAACAAGGTTTTACAAAAGGGCGGTCTATAACAGACGCAGTATTTATAATAAAACAAATAAAAGAAAAAGCTATAGAGTTCGGCATACCAGCGTATATTTGCTTCATTGATTTGACGAAGGCATTTGACAGAGTTCGCCTGGGAGACATTCTAAATATATTAATAGAAAATGAAACACCGACCAGTATAACAAAGATACTCCATAACCTAAATAACAACAACCTAACCAAAGTTTGAGCAGGAGACGAATTCACTGAAAATATTCCAACACCGGGAGGAATTAGACAAGGCGACAGTCTAAGCCCCTTCTTGTTTAATCTTCTCATGGGCAAAATTATCAACAAAGTAACATCTCTTAATCTCGGATATAGAATGGGCAACAAAAGAATTGGTATGGTGTGTTACGCAGACGATGCAGCAATTATTGCCGAATCAGAAGATGATCTCCAAAGGCAGCTCTTTCAGTTCTTTCAAACAAGCCGACTACTAAATATGAACATCTCTACCAACAAAACTAAATGTATGACAATAGCAAAAGATCCGCTCAGATGTAAGTTAGTGGTTGAGGACAACCCCATAGAACAGGTGATGCAATTCAGATATCTGGGCATAGATATATCAAGTATCCACGACCCAGTAAAGAACCTGAGGAGTCAGATCAACAAAGCATCTGCACTGTCAGGATGTCTGCGGGAGATAGTCTGGTCAAATCCGTATATGCGCACAGATAGTAAAATTAGAATCTATAAGACTTGCATACGACCGATCATGACATATGGCATAGAAGTGCGCGAAGATACCAACAAAACGAAACAGATGCTAAGGGTTGCCGAAATGAAAACCCTAAGAACAATAATGCGGAAAACAAGAAGAGACAGAGTGAGAAATACAAATATTAGAGAGCAGTGCAAAATTCAAGATATTGTAAGATGGGGAAGGCAGCGCAAGAGGATGTGGTACAACCATGTAAGACGAATGGATGAGAATAGACTCCCAAAAATTGCCCTAGAAAACAATCCGCCCGGTTCAAGACCCCCCGGAAGACCACCTAAAAGATGGAGGGATAGTTGGCAATCTACCTCCCAAGAAATTAACCAGAGGTAGCTTCAGAATTAAACAGATCGAAAGATCTACAAAAAGTAGAAGAAGAAGAAGAGTTACCATTAACAACATTAGATATGCGAGCGACTGTGATCTATCTCGGATCACAGTCGCTCGCATATCTAATGTTGTTATATGTATAAATATCTCGGACACATTACATGTAGAGAGAAATATACCCTGCTTCAATTGATTATGCAGAGAAAGATACAAGGAAAGAGAAGCATAGGGAGGCGTAGAATGTCATAGCTGAGAGAGTGGTAGAACGGATGTACATCAAATGAACTTTTCACAGCAGCCGTCTCAAAAGTAAAGAACTTTTCTCACTTGAAGAAGAAGACCAGAGGAAAATTACTAAAAAACTATTTCTCAACCTTTAAGATGTTTTTTGCCAGCTAATAAATTTTTTCTTTAATAATATTGTAGTTTTCTATTATTAATCATAAAATCATCAGTGTTTGTTTGGAAAAGACCTATTTCATTTTTATGTTGGATTTGTTAATGAAACTTCGTCATGCATCACATTTTGAGATTACTCCGAAAAGAGAAAGATATCTTCATGAATACCAAAATTAAACGTTTTTTTCGTTTCCTGTAAAATTAACATGTCTGGAGTTATGGCCTTTTCGAAATAACCGATTTAATTGTATTGATAATGTTTGAAATAATGAAACCTAAAGAATGCACTACGTACAGTGTTTACAGCATACCACCGTCATTTAATAATCTCTGAATAACAAGCTATTAATCCGAAATAATATACTTACATCGTTCTTTGAGCGTATCGCCAACTTTGTACAACAAGTGGCCCTCCTCATCGTCTTCTAAAGGTGCTGAAGCCTGAAAAAGAAGTTGTACTTGTAAAAAAGTGTAGAATTTAAACCGGCAAAACTTCATAATTAACACCTACGCCAGGGCAACAATTCAAACGTAAACAGCTAACCATCGTGTATATAGGTATATCGGAATACTTAACAATAAATCAAATAATGACAGACATAAACATTGCTGATACCAACCTATACTAAATATCTAAGTAATGAATGAATATATTTACCAATATGTACCTATCCAATATAATGTTTGGTATACCATGTATGTATAACATTATTTTATCTTAGTAAGGCGAATATTAAAGAGAAGTGATTTTTATTATAGTTTTTTCACGTGAATGGTTAATCACTCTTGTTTAACAATATAAACAAATGATTAAGCGATTGCCCAACTTAACAGATATACAGGGTGTTTCAAAAATGTATGACATAAATTAAATCACGCATTCCGGGGACAAAAATAAATTGATTGATTCATCTTAGTATAAAAGTTACAGCCCTTTGAAGTTAGAAAATAAAAATTGTTTTTTTGCATTATCTCTTAAACTATTTGACATTTTGTAATAAAAATGGACACATTTCTTTGTTGTTCTGAAAACATTTTTCATCCAAAAGAAACAACAAAATCTATCAAAATCACAGAAAAATTTTAAGGGGTGTGTGCAGCCCTAAATCCCCCCAAACTTTTGAGTACGTTCAAATTAAATGATTTTTGTGGTATCATTAGTTTAACACATTATTTTTAAAACTTTTTTGCCTCATCACTTTTTCGAAAAGCTAGTTTTTTCCTACTTGGCCATCAAATTACTATTAGTTTCTAAGGATACAATAATTACAAACAGTTCCATCAATAATAGTCAATAATTTGAAGCTATCATTTATTGTGTGAATAGGATTAATATTAAAACTTTTGATACTACAGTGGCCTACACATTTCAGGAAATGGTAGATATGCATTTAACTTTGGGTAAGTTGGATCAGATTAAATTATGATTTCAATAAACTATCGGGAATATCGTAGGTGAATGTCAACGAAATAGTGCAGCAGCCGCAAGGCGATATGCAGTAAAATACCGCAAATCGAAATAAGCCCGATAGACGATTATTTCTGATCATTGATCGTCGTTTACGGGAAACGGGTACATTCCAACCGCAAGTTGCTGGCAATAGTGTTTGTGCTGGCAATAATGGATGCAACTGATGAAGACATTTTAGAAATAATTGAAGAAGTCCCTGGAACAAGTACAAGGGTAATAGCTGCTCAAATAAATGTTCCTCGCGTAAGGGTTTGGAGGCGTTTGAAGGATCAGCTGCTTAAGGCCGATCCTCGCGATTCTGGGCATAGGTAAATTTCAATGTAAAAGTTTATATCAAATAACACAAAAACTATGGCAGGTATTGAGATGATTCTTTTTTTATATGGAAGGTCTTAAAAAGTTCTAGTGCACTATTTGGTTGTAAATTAGTAAATTGTTTAAATAATATTTTTTTTTCAAATATTTTTGGTTAAAATAAACGTAAATTTTTTTTTTCTTAATAGAGCACTACAGAATTTGACCCACTTTCCGAATCTGTTTTTATTTTTAACATAAAGTGTAACACAAAGCAGCTATTTGCTATTTGGTATAAAAAATTTCTAAGTTCTGCTAAATGTAATTTTCTCTCCGTCAGCACAGGCTGTCCTTGTCGGTAGCTTCTGGATTCTCGCCAGGTAGGTAAAACCCTCGGAGGAGGATAAATAAAGTTGAATAACATTATTAGGGCTTATTCCGACTTTTGACAAACCAGTGTGTTTATTGTATTTAAAATAGGAAATTTTGTATAAATAAGCAGTAAGTACCTATAATTTGATTTTTTGTAAAGTAAATTTTGATATGAATAGAAATATTTTCTGTTGATTAGTGACATTTTCCTTCTAAATATTTATACTGTTTTTATAATAATACTATTGTTTCAGTATTTGCTTATATAATAATAATTTATTATATAGAGACAGCGTAGAATTTTGGTCAATGATCCAGTACATTTTTTTTGTATTTCAATCAGAATTATTATTTTCTTTTCTTCTTTACATGAGCTCAGAGTAATAACCAAATATTTTGCAGTATTTGAATATTGAATTTAATTATTTATATTTATTGGTTAGCATCCTACTAATCGTAAAATCAAATACTGCTCAAAGAAACAATGTACAGTCTCGAAACCGGATTGATACTATGAAGACGATTACAGCAAGAAATAAGGACAAGCGAAAAACATCCAAAACCCAGATGAGATTTACTTGGAATATCAGATCACTCAACTCAAGGAACCAAGAAATAACCCAAGTGTTGAAAGAGAAAGAAATAGAGATTTGTGCTCTACAGAAAACAAAAAATAAAGGAAAAGGTCAATCAAAATTAGGTGAATACATACTAATCTACAGTGGAGTAGCAAAAGAAAACAGGGCCAAAGAAGGTGTAACCTTACTAATACACCAAAGGTATCAAAATTACATCAAAGAGTGTCAATACATATCAGAAAGAATAGTAACAGCAAAGATAAGAATGGAAAAGGAAAACCTGAACATTATCTAAGTATACGGCCCAGAAAATAATAAGCCTCAAAAAACAAGGGAAGTGTTTTACGACCAATTACAACAAGTAGTAGATCAAGTCAAAGAAAAGATGATAATTCACAGCTAATTTGATTACAATAATTAAGGAACCTCATTGATGTTATGTTAAGGAATCGGATTTGTATTTTTTGTTAAAAAATTTGCACAAACATTGTACCTTTACAGGACAATCTACGAATTTTCAAAAATGTAGTTCAAATGGTGACTAGGAAGAACCTACAAGTCCATACCGAACAAGCAATTTCAAACTAATAAAATTTTCTATATCTTCGGATCTACTCAATGGATTTTGATCATTCTTTTTTTAATTTGTATGTAATTTCTACATACATTAGAAATTATTAGTAATTTGTTTATATATTAATTAATTAATAAATAGTCTAGTTTGTTTGAACAATTCGTGCAAAAACAATTTTCTTCCAAAAATCTATTTTTTTTTTAATACTAGTATCAATAATCATAGAAACAATCACGTTTTTTGCATTAAATTATCAATAATTAAAAAACAGCTCCAAATTCAAGGCAGGAAACAAGTAGGTTTTTATAGGTCTACAATAACTAAAAAAGTTAAGCGTTAAGTAAGCGACCTGAATTATTGAGTGTCACGAACATGGTCTATTTTTTGGTTATTTCCATGGAGTATATATTTCATTAACATCTGTGTAATTTCTTTGTCGCTTCCTCGCTGGTTTTGCATATTGCTATGATAGCAATATAATCGGTAAATGTTGCAATTGTATTATTTTCTAGGACAATAATATAACACGTATACAAAAGGTAAAGACACTTCTTTGTGGCAGCCCTGCTGTAATATCTTTCAATTCCGTGTATGTTTCTTCCTGTTTAATTCTGAAATATCTTTCCAAGATACAGGAGTCAATTATTTGAGAGTATCGTTTTGGTAAATGTAGTCTTAGTTTATAGTTATGGCGTCTTTGCCATACTTTATCGTATACCTGAGTCACATCCTAAATTATTGATATAAGGTTGAATGCTCGAATAAATTAACTTTAAAAAATGAAGGTAAATTTCGAGCACAAATCTAATAATCAAATCTTGCCCAAGTACTTTCGCTTTCTACAGCATCATCAGGGGCATCTGCGCTTGCTGGATAGCCCAAATTTGACGAAGTAAGTCTAAAACGTTAATCACAAAAAACTTTTATCATCCATTAACTTTTAAGTTTTTTATCGAAGTTAATTAATTTTCTTCATTAAAAAAAACTTTTCTTGGCTTATTTCAGATGCCCCTGATGATGCTGTAGAAAGCGAAAGTACTTGGGTAAGATTTGATTATTAAATTTGTGCTCGATATTTGCCTTAATTTTTCAAAGTACATCCTAAAATGTCCATCATATTATCCTTCATGATCCATATTTCACATCCATATAAATAGTAATACAGTATATTTCATCATCATCATCAATGGCGCTACAACTCTTCGAGAGTCTTTGCCGCGGTTACTATTGCCTTCCATGTTTGTCGGTCCTGTGCCAGTAATTCTCATTGTCGCACTCCCATTTTCTCTATATCTAGGAGTATATTTACATATAACAAATTAAATCCTTAGTTGTAAATTTTTGAAATAAGTACTCAGTATACACCTAACTTTCATAAATGCTCCTCATAAATCTCATAGTCATAAATCTAAACTTTTGTAATCCGTTCTTTGTTGACAATTAGTTGCATAGGGCCGACGTTTACTAACCACAAGCACACAAGTAAATTATGTTATTTCTTTCTTTTGACAATAATAATTGTCTATTAGATTAGCATTCTAAGAAGTAAATTAGTCTCTTACTGAATGATAATAAACAACACATCCAACTTATTCTGAAACTATTTCTTGTGTCATGTTATGTTTATTTGTTATATTTTATTAGATTTTGGTGTAATAGACCACAACCTATCAAATTCAATATCAAAAATCAAAATTGGAAATGATAGCGTGACTAAATTATTCCTTCCTTCAAGAAATTTTAAAAAGAACTGATTCCTATTACTATCCAGTGCAAGGACAGTTATTTTATTTATATCGAATAGAGAATACTGTTAGTTTGCGGTATGGACAGCAAAAAATATTTTATTCGAAAAGATTGATGAATATATGGAACTGTGGGAAAATATGCCACAAAAATTTCAAGATTTTTATTATAATTTTTATTTGAAACACCTTCTGAAGAAACATTAGATATAATTCTATATTTATATAGTTTCATTTTATCAATTTTAATGATCGTGATACTAATTAGATAAGATTTTTATTATAATTTTTATTTGAAACACCTTCTGAAGAAACATTGGACATAATTATATATTTATATCGTTTCATTTTATCAATTTTAATGATCGTGATACTAATCAAATTTTTATGATATATAATTATAATCT